GTCACGTGTTTCAGGTCGATGCTGAGGTCGACCCCGCGGTCCATGAGTTGCGCCGCCGAGAGGAGATTGAAGTGTAGATTCTGCACAATCAGCACGCCGTTCAGCGTGATGTGCGTCCTGCTCCCTCGGGCCTTGAGCACAGCGATGCCTTGCGCACTTGCGCGCAAGCGCGTGTTGTTCACCACGAAGGCATAGGTGACGGCAGGAGTCGCGACGGCGTTGGATATGTAACGCTCGGAGCCCACCATATGCTGCCGACAGCAGCTATCCAGGTACCACCTGTTGTAGCGCCTGTTGTCGTTACGTGCGAGCAGCGCCAATCGCGGAGTAACGATGTGTGGTGTGTCAACCTTTAGAAATTGTTCGCGCGTGATCCAATCGATCGGTGCCACCCACGTATCAGGTATGTGCGGGGACTCTCAAGCAGCGGGATTGGCAAGTTCCAATCTTGGGCGTCGTCGTCTCTTAAGTCGTGACGCATGCTGAATGGGTTGTTGTTTGAGAACGTTCCGATTGGGTGAGGTCCTAGCTCAGGTGACGGTGAGGGTGCACGGGGACGACGCGATCCGCTCGTCATTGTCATGTTTCCCGTGACGTTGCGAACGGGATTCGAGTGTGGCGGCTGCTGCTGCTGATGCTGAGCCGTTGGGTTCGGGTTGCGCGAAGGGGGTTGATGCCCCTTGGCTGGACATAAGTCATTCCGTGCGTCTTGTCGGCCGGACCAAGTGCTCGGGTTGGTCTGGCAAGGGCGAGATCGGAATTTGCATCGATCTGCCAGGTGCCCGAAAATTCATGCAAATTTTGCAGTAAAGGCGCCGCGACCGTCGCTCTTCAGTCTTATCGGCGTAGAAGGCGAGGCGTTCTTTCCCTCGTCGCGGCGCTGGTCGCTGCTGGTCCATATCCCGTTGTTCAACGAGGAGGGCAGCGCATAGGGCGGCCTCCGAGATGACCCCCTGCTGTCGGAGAAGCGCCTTGCAGGGGCGCCACTCTGGGCCGAGGCCCTGAAGCACGATGTTCACGAATATCTTCTCAGAGATCGTGTTTCCCAATTTCGCGATCTGATCGCGTAAGCTCCGACACCGGCTCAGGTAACTGTTGGCCTTCTCCCCTGGGGCCATTCTTGTTTCCAATAGCTGCTGGAGTAGTCGGCTCGACGAAACCGAATCCTTCGGTTGGTACACGCCATTCAGATGGCGCCAAGCGTCGAGGGCTAGAGCTGGTGAAGTTTTGTAGGAGCGAATGCTCAACTGCTCCGCCGACGACATGTTCCGCAGTATGACCGCGTACGCCATCAGGGACTCGGTGTAGTACCTCGTTATGGCGTCGGCGGTGTCCTCAGCAGGTTCCAAGTAGCTCCTGTCGAAGTAGTGAAAAATCTGCGCGTTTTGCAGCAGCAGCTCCAGCTCGAAGCTCCAGGTATAGAAGTCTCTCTTGTCAAAGCACACACATGTCTTTATTTTTTATATGCTCAAAAACCTTGATTGCGCAGAGAGAATTGCTTCTTCGCTGGGACGGGGATTCTTGGGTGTTGAGCCGTTTGTGTCGAGGGAGAGTGTGCGGGGCGGTATTTTGGCCGTTCAAGGCCGGTTGAGAGGGTTGGGAAGAAGTTCCCGCATCGCCATTCCGCAATGTTTGGAGTCCTTGCTCCAAGCTGGTGAGTCAATGAAGCAATTGTGCGAGGAGGACAAGTCCGATCGTCGTCGTTTCCTCGCTAAAGTGGAGACAAGTCCGATCGTTTCCCTGTCGTCAAAGTGGGGTATAATCAGCAGAGCAAACAGTCATAGAGCAGGTTCACAAGGGCAAGCAAAGCTAGAGGCATCCACAACGGGCGCGTAAGGAGGAGGAGGATGGACTGTGAGAGGAGAGGAGATGAGAGGCGACGGCTGAAGCAGCAGACACACGGGCAACAGGAGCGGCTGGCACAGTGGCTACCGGGACAGCGCCCTGGACTACTGGAGTAACTGGCTCTGCGGCTAACTCTGAGCGGCAGAAGCAACGGACCCACGGGCGACAGGCGCAGCATGCTCTCTAGGCTACCAGGACAGCGCCCTGGACTACAGGTGCTGCGAAGGACAAGACGGCAGCCTCCACTCAACCTCCCCCAACTGTCCCACCGCCCCTTTCATACACCCCTTCTTGTACCCCTAGCTCCACTCCCACGTCACCCCCCTTAAACCCTAAACCCCCGGCTCCCACACACCCACCCCCCTCAACGGCAGCTGTAGTAGTGGGAGACGAAGGAGGAGGAGGAGCTACAGGTTACCCACACCGGTCACCCCCATGCCCGCCACCCCCAAACCCTAACGCAGGCAGGAGCGCGGGAAGCAGCAGGGGCACTTCATGGAGGGAAAGGGAGGCGGCGGAGGGGTCTCATGGGCGCCACGAAGGAGCAGGGCGCAGGCCCCCCGAGGACGCCACGGCGGGTGACGGGAGGGGGGCCGCGCATGGGCCCCCGAGGGCGGCTCGACGGGCGACAGAAGGGGCCGCGCGCGGGCCCCTTAGGCGCCGCGACGAGGCGGCGGGAGGGGGGCGACGCGCGGGCCCCCAAGGAGCCGCAACGAGGCGACGGGAGGGGGCGACGTGCGGGCCCCCAACGTGCCGCGATGAGGCGACGGGAGGGGCCGGCGCGCGGGCCCCCAGGGCGCCGCGACGAGGCGACGGGAGGAGGGCGACGCGCGGGCCCCTAGGGCGCTGCGACGGGCGACGGAGGGCAGCGCGCAGGTCCCCGGGGGCGCCACGACGGGCAGAAAACCGCCGTGCGAAGCAGGAAACCGCTGCGCGCCTCGGGGCACACGGCGGGCAGAAAACCGCCGCACGCCCCGAGTGCACGGCGGGATGAAAAACGCCGCGCGCTCCGAGTGCGCGGCAGGAAGAAAGGGTCACGCGCCCGAGGCGCGCAACAGCAGTAGAGCAGCAGAAGCAACGGGTGGGGCCCACCCACAGGATCGACCCAGGAGGGTCGACCTGCTCCGATAGCATGTTAGAATCAAGTAACAGGAATGAGAATGAAGAAAGGAGGGGGTGCACTAGCAGCAGTTGGCATACATATAGGAAACCCTGATTGGGTTGTACTCGCTATAGAATACCCCACTGCAGGCTAGACAATAATAACATTCTGACAAGATTCGTCTGACCACCAGTTCCTCCGGCCATTCTTACGCGCAAGCGTGTGCCGGACGCCACTTTTCGTTCGCCGAAAGTTTCAGAGGTGGCAGTGCGAAGGATTCATGAGTTGCTTTCATACCATGTTGCGATCAGAAAGGGATCGTCCAAGGATCACCTAAGGAAGGTTCGCAACAAGTCTGATTAGTGGTGGTGGGCCCTTCACCTCAATAGCAGAGTGAATGTAAAATGTTTGAGACAATAAAAACATGCAAATACAACACTAGAAATAAGAGTACATGGGGAATACCAATCTGTCAAAATAGTAGCACAAGTGGGGGCTAGGTTTAAGTGAGGGCCTAGGCTTAGTAGCCTTGGCCAAGGGGAGTCGAGTGAGTTGTGGCAAGGAGGAGTGTCGAGAATGGTGGTGTTCACTATAGCACAAGGGTACATATAGCAAACAAATGAAGAGGTGCACCACGTAGAAGGTTAATAACTACACTACAGCTAGAACTACATGCAGTTATAACAACATAATTTTGACACAATCGATCTACCTAGCCATGTACTCTAAGGGGTACATTTCCTTATTACAACGAACTCCAACCGCGCGACTCCAGACAGTTACGAAACTGTTTGGGCAGAATCCTCGCTACTGCTGCTGCCGTCTGTACGACGGTCCAGATGCTTTCGTAACCGTGCGACCCTTCGCGTCACTTCCACCCTTTCGTCTTCAACCTCGGTAGTGTGTGCTTCGCTTGCTGCGGTGAGGAGTGCACAGTAATGTTTGAATAGTTACTATTCGTAACAGGAAGAGCGAGTATTCGGGTTTGAATTCAAACATATATATATTTTAGACAACATTGTTTTTTTTTCTGAATATTATACACAACCATAAAACTAATTTGAAGGTTTGAAAATTTAATCATATACCTAAACAATTCGTTGGTAGAGATCTCCAAGACTTCTGGTTTGCTGGTTTAAAAGATGCTATAAGATTTTCAGATTCTCTAAAACAATGGACTCCAACAATTACTGTAGAATGATAGCCTTCACCACATCCTCGTCACTGCATCCAGCGCTTTGAGCAACATCAAGCCTCCTGCTCTTGAAGTGAACCAGCCCTTCACGTCAGGGGCAGCTACAAGGGCTTGTTTACAGGTCATGCATCGAAGTTCGACTAGGTTATTAGCGGTTCAAGTCGGTGAATCTATAGAACCTCTCCAAATTGCACAGCATCGTGCTCAACCGTTTCTATGCAGCAACGACACAGCACATCAAACTCATCGTCACATCGGTGGTACCTAGTCAGCCATGGCGTTTGCTTCACATCACTTGTGCTAATCCCAGCATCACAGCAAGCACTTAGGGAGTTCTGACTGACCTCCTTGTTATTGCTGTTCCCTATCCTACGCTAACCGCCGCGCATCCGTAAGCCTGAAAAATGAAAGCGGAGTGAAAAATGAAAGCGGAGTGAAAACTGCATCCATGAAAGCAGGTTGAAGGCTGTACGAATAGAACTAGGAATTCGATTTCGTTTCACCTGTGATATAGGCGCGTAGGAACGAAAAAGGAGGGTTCAGATTTCTGGCTGTCGTGGTGTTTTTTCTGCTGCCGTCACTGGCAAGAGCGTAGCCTAGCGACACATCAGCATAGTCCACTTTTATCCACGCATAACAGAAATTCGTGTGTCCGTCGAGATAAATAAGTGCGAGCAACGCTGTCGTGCGGATAAGCCACCGTCTTCGCCTCCCTGAATCGGCTGAAACAACCACCCTCCTAACGGATACACCGTGAATTGACATCTCCACCGTTCTCAACCGCATCGTCATCACCTCCGCCATAACCATCGCCAACCCCACATCCTCGTCCCCCTCCTCCTCCCCGAGTCGCCCGCCATGAATCAGCCGCGCCGCAAGTCGGCGTTCCGCATCGAGCCGTTTCGGCACAAGGTGGAGATGGACCCGCGATACGCGGAGAAGACGTGGGGCATTCTCGAGGACGCCATCCATCAGATCTACAGCCACAACGCCTCGGGCCTCAGCTTCGAAGAGCTCTACCGGTACGCCCTCCCTCCTTTTCGAGGTGCCGCCCAGTCCTTCTAGAGGTTCCTGGTTCCTCCGTTGCTCCCTCCCTCGGCGCGCGGCATTCTCGAGGACGCCATTTACCGCATCTACAGCCACAACGCCTCGGGGCTCAGCCTCGAAGAGCTCTACCGGTACGCCTCTTATCCTTTTAGACGTGCCCCTTCCCTCCCTCTGTTGCTCCCTCCCTCGGCGCGCGGCTTTCTCGAGGACGTCATCCATGGCATTTACAACCACAACGCCTCCGGGCTCAGCTTCGAAGAGCTCTACCGGTACGCCTCTTATCCTTTTAGACGTGCCCCTTCCCTCCCTCTGTTGCTCCCTCCCTCGGCGCGCGGCTTTCTCGAGGACGTCATCCATGGCATTTACAACCACAACGCCTCCGGGCTCAGCCTCGAAGAGCTCTACCGGTACGTGCCTCCTTCCTCCCTGCCTCGCGCTCTTCAGAGGTACGGTCTCCCTTCATCCCTCTATCGGTACGTACGGCCTCAGCTTCCAAGAGCTCTATCGCTGCGCCCTCCGTCCTTCCGGCGATGCCTCCTCCCCTCCCGTGCTCCCTCCCTTCCTCGGCGTGCGGCATTCTCGAGGACGCCATTCGGCGGTCTACAACCACAACGCATCCGGCCTCAGCTTCTAAGAGCTTTACGCCAAGCTAACTACTCTCCCTTTTTCTCTCCCCTCCCGTTATCTTCTCTTTCGTCTCTCACCCCCCCAACAGCAACGCGTACAACATGGTGTTGCACAAGTATGGCGTCCGCCTCCATGGGGGGGGGGGCTATTGCTACTCCAACGCTATTCCCTCACTGCCTGTCTCTGCCCTTTTATTCCCCTCTCCCGCCCTTCCCCTCCCCCATCCACCAGCAACGCGTACAACATGGTGTTGCACAAGTACGGCGACCACCTCTACGCAGGGCTGGTGGTGGCCGTGCTAACAGTGTCTTTCTGCTGTTCCTCCCTCTGTCTTCCCCCTGTGTCTCTCCCCCCCGTGTCACAGCAACGCGTACAACATGGTGTTGCACAAGAACGGCGACCACCTCTACGCAGGGCTGGGAGGCGCGCTAAGTCTGTTCTCTTCCCCCCTTCCACCCCCATCCCTCACCCCCCCCCCCCCCCCCCCAGCAACGCGTACAACATGGTACTTCATAAGTACGGCGACCACCTCTACGCAGGGCTGGGAGGCGCGCTAAGTCTGTTCTCTTCCCCCCTTCCACCCCCATCCCTCACCCCCCCCCCCCCCCCCCCAGCAACGCGTACAACATGGTACTTCATAAGTACGGTGACCGCCTGTATGCGGGGCTGGTGAGCACCATGACGGCACATCTTAAAGGTGTGGCGGCGGCTATAGAGGCGGCGCACGGGCCACTGTTCCTCAACGAGCTGGATGCCAGGTGAGGGGGTAACAATGGGTGGTGGTGACATGGCAAACGGTGGGGCTGGTGAGCACCATGACGGCACATCTTAAGGGCGTCGCTGCTGCCATTGAGGCCACGCATGGGCCGCTGTTCCTCAACGAACTCTATGCGAGGTGAGGGGAGAGTGAGAGAGGAGGCTGTGTGTGATGCAAGGTGACACAGCAGGCTGTCTGGTTGTTAGGCAGGCTCTCGCCTATATGCAGGGCTGGTGAGCACCATGACATGACGGCGCACCGCAAGGGCGTGGCGGCTGCTATTGAGGTTGAGGCCGCCCATGGGCCTCTCTTCCTCAACGAGCTGGACGCCAGGTGAGGGAAATGAGGTGGAGAATGAGTGTGATATGTGAATGAGTGTGATGTGTGAATGAGTGTGATGTGTGAATGAGTGTGATGTGTGAATGAGTGTGATGTGTGCATGAGTGTGATGTGTGAATGAGTGTGATGTGTGAATGAGTGTGATGTGTGAATGAGTGTGATGTGTGCATGAGTGTGATGTGTGAATGAGTGTGATGTGTGAATGAGTGTGATGTGTGAATGAGTGTGATGTGTGAATGAGTGTGATGTGTGCATGAGTGTGATGTGTGAATGAGTGTGATGTGTGAATGAGTGTGATGTGTGAATGAGTGTGATGTGTGCATGAGTGTGATGTGTGAATGAGTGTGATGTGTGCATGAGTGTGATTTGTGCATGAGTGTGATGCCCGTCGCCTCTATGAGGGGCTGGTGAGCCTAAACCATGACGGCGCACCTCAAGGGCGTGGCGGCGGCCATAGAGGCGGCGCACGGCCCGCTGTTCCTCAACGAGCTGGATGCCAGGTGGGTTTCTATAGAGGTGCGAGGTTAGATTGAGGTAGGTGGTAGTACGAGGAGAATGAGGTGCGTGGGTGCTGGCGCTGCTCTGTTCAGGTGTGCGCTGGTGCGTGCATGCTGCATCCTGGTGGGCTGGTTTAACAGCTGCGATGCTCACGCATACCCTAGCCTCCTCCTGTTCCTCTATTCCCAGCTGGCACGACTAATACGGCAAGTCCCTGCAGATAATCCGAGACATGCATATGCACATGGACGGATGGACCGAACCTACCTACGTGCCCAATGTTGCCATGCTGTTACTTCTCGTTCCCTCTCTTCTCCCCCCCTTCCCCCTTCCCCCTTTCCCCCTCTCTCTCTCCTCACTCCCAGGTGGCACGACCAAGACAAGTCCCTCCAGATGACCCGACACATCCGCATGCACATGGACTCATGCTTCTATGCTCTCCCTTCTCTCCTCTCCCCCTCTTTACCTCCCTCTTTTTCTACTCCAGCTGGCAGGCACGACCATGACAAGTCCCTCCAGATGACCCGACACATCTGCATGCACATGGACCGCACTGACCTATGTGACCAATGCTGCTGCCTTTCACTCTTTTCTCGCTTTCCGACTCCTTTTCCCCGCCTCTCCACCCTTCTCCCAGGTGGCACGACTACGGGCAATCCCTCCAGGGAGGCATCCTAATGTACATGGACCGAACCACATGCCCACTCCTGCTATGTTCTCCCCTGTCGCCTCTCTTCTCCTGTCCCTCTTCCCTCCCTCCTCCGCTTGCAGGTGGCACGAGTACGGCAAGTCCCTCCAGATGATCCAAGACATCCTAATGTACATGGACCGCACCTACATGCCCAGTGACCAATGCTGCTGCCATTTCCTCTCACCTCTCATTCCCTCTCATTCTTAGTGGTGCTGCCTTGCTCTCCCCCTATTGTTCCCAGGTGGCACGAGTATGGCAAGTCCCTCCAGATGATTCGAGACATCCTAATGTACATGGACCGCACCTACGTGACCAATGCTGATTCCCTGCTCTCCCCTCTTTCCCTCCGTAACTAACCCACCGCTCGCCACGCTTGCTCTTCCTCTTTTTCCAGGTGGCACAACTATGGCAAGTCCCTCCAGATGATCCGAGACATTCTTATGTACATGGACCGCACCTACGTGACCAGTGACCAATGCTGCTGCCTTTGGTTCTCACCTCTGTTTCCCACTCTTCTCCCCTCCTTTCTCCCCTCTCACTCCCAGGTGGCACGACTACGGGAAATCTCTTCAAATGATCCGCGACATTCTAATGTACATGGATCGCACCTACGTGACCAATCACAACAAGACACCTGTGCACGACCTCGGCCTCGCCCTCTGGCGCGACCACATCGTGCGCGCCCCCGCCATCCGCCCGCGCCTCCTCTCCACCCTCCTCTCCCTCATCCACCAAGAGCGCTCGGGCGAAGTGATCAACCGCGCCCTCATGCGATCCATATCGTCCATGTTCGCGGATCTCGGCCCCGCGGTCTATTCGGAGGATCTGGAGCGTCCGTTTTTGGAAGCCTCCGCGGCGTTTTACCGGGGGGAGGCGCAGAGGTATCTGGGGACGTGTGATTGCGCGGATTATTTGAAGGTGGCGGAGAGGCGGCTGGAGGAGGAGGGGGAGCGCGTGGCGCAGTACTTAGATGCGCGCACTGAGGGGAAGGTGACGGGCGTGGTGGAGAGGGAGATGGTGGGGAATCACCTCAGGCTGCTCGTTGATATGGAGAACTCTGGCTTGGTGCCCATGCTGGTCAATGACAAGTACGAGGTGAGAGGTGCTCCCTCCCTCCCTCCGTCCTGGTGGGGAATCACCTCAGGTTGCTGGTTGACATGGAGAACTCCGGGCTTGTGCCCATGCTGGTCAACGACAAGTATGAGGTGAGAAGGGGTTGCATACTTCCTCCTGCCTATGTGTGAGATGGTGGGGAATCACCTGAGGGTGCTCGTTGATATGGAGAACTCTGGGCTTGTTCCCATGCTGGTCAATGACAAGTACGAGGTGAGACGGGGTTGCTTTCCTTCTCCTTTTTTCTCTCCCTCCCTCCCCCTCTCCCTCCCTCCCTCCTCTTCCTCTCCCTTCTTCCCTCCCTCCCTCCCTCGCTTTGCCTCTCCCCCCTTTTCTGTTGTTCCTCACCCACACCCTCCCCCAGCCCCCCCTTTCAGGACATTGCGCGCGTGTACCGCCTGCTGAAGCGTGCACCGCCTGCTGAAGCGTGTACCGCCTGCTGAAGCGTGTACCGCCTGCTGAAGCGCGTACCGCCTGCTGAAGCGCGTACCGCCTGCTGAAGCGTGTACCGCCTGCTGAAGCGTGCACCGCCTGCTGAAGCGTGTACCGCCTGCTGAAGCGTGCACCGCCTGCTGAAGCGTGCACCGCCTGCTGAAGCGTGCACCGCCTGCTGAAGCGTGCACCGCCTGCTGAAGCGTGTACCGCCTGCTGAAGCGTGTACCGCCTGCTGAAGCGTGTACCGCCTGCTGAAGCGTGCACCGCCTGCTGAAGCGTGTACCGCCTGCTGAAGCGTGTACCGCCTGCTGAAGCGTGTACCGCCTGCTGAAGCGTGTACCGCCTGCTGAAGCGTGCACCGCCTGCTGAAGCGTGTACCGCCTGCTGAAGCATGTACCGACGACAGGGTTGCAGGCGGCGAGGGAGGAGCACCTAAGCTGACTACTCATCCCCATTACCCCTGCTTGCTCCCCGTTCGCCCTCCTTCGCTTCCCGCACCCCCGCAGGACATTGCGCGCATGTACCGTCTGCTCAAACGCGTGCCGGCAGGGCTGCAGACGATGCGGGAGGTGATGTCAGGCAGTGAGCCGACCATTCATCCTCATTGCCCCTGCTTGCGCCCCCGCTCCCCCTCCTCTCCCCCTGCCCCCCCCCCCCCCCCCCCCCCCCTTCGCATACTCCCCTGCAGGACATTGCGCGCATGTACCGCCTGCTGAAGCGCGTGCCGGCAGGGCTGCAGACGATGAGGGAGGTGATGTCAGGGCATCTGAGGGAGACAGGCAGGCAGCTCGTGACTGATCCCGACAGGTATGGTGGAGGGAGGAGTGGGAATGGGTGTGAGGGGGTGTAAGTGGGTGTGATTGTGGGCTGGATGCGGGAGGTGATGTCGGGGCATCTGAGGGAGACAGGCAGGCAGCTCGTGACTGATCCCGACAGGTATGGTGGAGGGAGGAGTGGGGTTGGGTGTAAGTGTGTGTGCACAGACGATGCGGGAGGTGATGTCGGGGCACCTGAGGGAGACGGGCAGGCAGCTGGTCACGGACCCGGACAGGTATGGCGGTTGTGTCATCAGTGCACCTGGGAGGAGCATGTGCGAGGGGGGGGGGGGAAGAGGAGGGAGAAATGCAGTGCAGACGATGCGGGAGGTGATGTCGGGGCACCTGAGAGAGACGGACATGCAGCTGGTCACGTGCCCGGACAAATACGTGTGTGATTGTGTGAGTGGTCGTTTTCGATGGAGTATGAGAGAAAGTGTATGTGGGAGTGCTAGAGAGAGAGAGTGTGTGGGTGTGGGAGTGTGTTTGAGAGAGAAATGGCATCTTGTTATCATGGGCCCTTGTTGTGAGTACCATCTCCCCCCCGCCCACCCACCCACCCGCCTCTTAGAGGAGAAGGACAAGTACGATTGCATTATAGCCTCCCCTCTCCTATAATGACAAGTACGATTGCATTATAGCCTCCCCTCTCCTATTATGACAAGTACGATTGCATTATAGCCTCCCCTCTCCTATAATGACAAGTACGATTTCATTATAGCCTCCCCTCTCCTATAATGACAAGTATGATTGCATTATAGCCTCCCTTCTCCTATAATGACAAGTACGATTGCATTATAGCCTCCCCTCTCCTATAATGACAAGTACGATTGCATTATAGCCTCCCCTCTCCGATAATGACAAGTACGATTGCATTATAGCCTCCCCTCTCCTATAATGACAAGTACGATTGCATTATAGCCTCCCCTCTCCTATAATGACAAGTACGATTGCATTATAGCCTCCCCTCTCCTATAATGACAAGTACGATTGCATTATAGCCTCCCTTCTCCTATAATGACAAGTACGATTGCATTATAGCCTCCCCTCTCCTATAATGACAAGTACGGAGAAGAGGCCGCCTCATTCTTCCCCTCTCCTCCCCTTCCCCACCACTCCTCTTCACTCCTTCTCACTCATCCCCTCCTCACTCCTCCTATCCTCCCCACCATCCCTCACCAAGTGCAAGGACAAGTACGATCACATCATCGCCGCCCCATTCCGCCGCTCCCTGTTGCACTCCTCCCCACTCCTCCCTCTTCACTCCTTCAGGTGCGAGGACCTGCTGGAATTCGTGCAGCGGCTGTTAGAGGAAAACGACAAGAACGATCGAATCATGCCGCCTCATGAAGGCCCCTCCCCCTTCCACTCCTCCCCTCTCCTCCTCTCCCCTTCACCAGGTGCAAGGACCCAGGGGAATTTGTGCAGCGCCTCTTGGAGGAAAACGACAAGTACGATTGCATTATCTCGGCTTCTTTTGCTTCCGATAAAGCCTTCCACACTGCCCTCAGCACCGCCTTTGAGCTCTTCCCATTCCTCCTCCCATCCATCTTCACCTCATCAGGTGCAAGGACCCGGTCGAGTTCGTGCAGCGGCTGCTAGAGGAAAAGGATAAATACGATCGCATCATCTCCGCCTCATTCGCCTCAGACAAGGCCTTCCACACCACGTTCTCCACTGCCTATGAGTTCCTCCTCAACCTCAACACTTCTTCCCGTCCCCTCTCCCCTCAGGTGCAAGGACCCGGTCGAGTTCGTGCAGCGCCTGCTAGAGGAGAAGAATAAATATGACCGAATCATCTCCGCCTCCTTCGCCTCAGACAAGGCCTTCCACACGGCCCTCTCCACGGCCTTTGAGTTCTTCCTCAACCTCAACGCTTCTTCCCCTCACCTCACCTTTCCTACTCCCCCTCCCCCACTCCCCCAGGTGCAAGGACCCGGTCGAGTTCGTGCAGCGGCTGCTAGAGGAGAAGGATAAATATGACCGAATCATCTCCGCCTCCTTTGCCTCCGACAAGGCCTTCCACACGGCCCTCTCCACAGCCTTTGAGTTCTTCCTCAACCTCAACGCGCGCGCTGCCGAGTACATCTCTCTCTTCATCGACGACAAGCTGCGCAAGGGGCTCAAGGGGGCCAGCGAGGAGGAGGCAGAGGCCGTGTTGGATAAGGTCATGATGCTGTTCCGGTTCCTGCAGGAGAAGGACGTGTTTGAGAAGTATTACAAGCAGCACTTAGCTAAGCGTCTGCTGTCGGGGAAGACGGTTTCGGATGACGCGGAGAGGAGTTTTATCGTGAAGCTTAAGACGGAGTGTGGGTACCAGTTTACGTCGAAGCTCGAGGGCATGTTCCTGGATATGAAGACGTCTCAGGATACGATGCACGCGTTTCACTGCGCGTTACAGGCTGAGGCTGCGGCGGCGGCGGTGGCGACGGGAGGAGGTGTGGGAGTGGTGGAGGAGAGGGGGGGCGGAGAGGGAGAGGTGGAGGATCCGGCTAGTGGGGTTGCCGCCGCCGCCGCTGCTGCTGCTGCTACTGGTTTACGGGAGGAAGGAGGGGATGAGGGTGGGGAGGAGGAAGGAGAAGGGTCTGCACGTGGGGGAGCAGCAGTAGCAGCACTCCGCACCGAACCAGATCTTGCCCTCACCGGACCGTCCGGCACGGCAGCAGGCTCGGGAGCCGGCTCGTCATCATCAGCATCGGCGGCAGCAGGAGGGGCGGCAGCGGGTGGATTATTCCAAGGGCCGACTCTATCCGTCCAGGTGTTAACTACAGGATCTTGGCCTACCCAGGCCGGTGCCAGATGCAACCTCCCCGGGGAGATCCTGCCCATCTGTGAGAAGTTCACGCGGCACTACCTGACGACGCACACCGGGCGGCGGCTGACGTGGCAGATGAACATGGGGCATGCGGACGTGAAGGCGACGTTTGAGTCGCGGAAATACGAGCTGTCTGTCTCCACCTACCAGGTGGGTTGGGCCCGTGTCAACGTACCAGGTGGGTGGGGCCCGTGTCAACGTACCAGGTGGGTTGGGCCCGTGTCAACGTACCAGGTGGGTGGGGCCCGTGTCAACGTACCAGGTGGGTTGGGCCCGTGTCAACGTACCAGGTGGGTGGGGCCCGTGTCAACGTACCAGGTGGGTTGGGGCATACCGGGTGGGTTGGTTTGCAATGACTTATTGTGAACATGGGGCATGCGGACGTGAAGGCCACGTTTGAGTCGCGGAAATACGAGCTGTCCGTGGCAACCTACCAGGTGCGTGGGGCATACTGGTTGGGAGATTTTGTTTTTTCTGTTGACTTATTGTGACCTACCACCACCAGCCAGGTGGACGCGAAGGCCACGTTTGAGTCACGGAAATACGAGCTGTCCGTGTCGACCTACCAGGTGGGTTTGACGTAACTTTTGAGTCGACTCAAAAGGCAGCAGTCTGTGTCCACGTATCAGTCAGGTGGGTGGGTGAATTGATCCTTGCATTGCCTAGGTCGTTATGCCCTAGCATGTGGGTTTTGAGGCGCCTCGAAGGTTAGGTCTTGCATTGCCTAGGTCGTTATGCCCGAGCATGTGAGTGGTACAAGCTACCAGGGGGTGTGACCTGCAGCACTACTTGTTTGCATTCCCCGTTTGACTTTTGAGTCGACTCAAAAGTCACCTTTGCCCGAGCATGTGAGTGGTACAAGCTACCAGGGGGTATGACCTGCAGCACTACTTGTTTGCATTCCTCGTTTTCTACCTCATTCCCCCCCGCTCTTCCCTCACTCCCTCTCTGCCCCCCCCACCAGATGTGCACCCTCATACTGTTCAACACGCACGACTCCCTCACCTACCGCGACATTGAAGCAGCCACTGACATTCCCTCAGCCAACCTGAGGCGCAACTTGCACTCTGCTCTCCCTACCTGTCCCTCCCCAAACCCCAGATGTGCACCCTCATGCTCTTCAACACGCACGGCTCCCTCACCTACCGCGACATTGAGGCAGCCACAGACATTCCCTCGGCCGACCTGCGGCGCAACCTGCAGTCGCTGTCGCTGGTGCGAGGCAGGCAAGAACGTCCTTTTTCTCCCCTTCTTCCCCCCTTTACCTCCCCTCCCTCCCCCTCCCTCCCCCCCCCCCCCTCCCTTCCCCCTTTGCCCCACCGCAGATGTGCATCTTGATGCTGTTCAACACGCACGACTCGCTGACATATCGCGACATAGAAGCGGCCACCGATATCCCATCAGCCGACCTGCGGCGCAACCTGCAGTCGCTGTCGCTGGTGCGCGGGAAGAACGTGCTGCGGAAGGAACCGGTGGGGAGGGAGGTGGGGGATGACGATACCTTTCATTTCAACCACAAGTTCACCTCCAAGTTCTTCAAGGTGAGAAGGAGTATGGGAGGGGAGTGGGATGCTCTCTAAGCCTCAGCACCTTCTGCAAGAACGTGCTGCGGAAGGAACCCGTGGGGAAGGAGGTGGGGGATGACGATACTCTCCACTTCAACCACAAGTTCACCTCCAAGTTCTTCAAGGTGAGAAGGAGTATGGGAGGGGAGGGATGGGTGCACGGTTACAGTGTGTGCGGGAGAAATGGGTGAGCCCGTGGGCAAGGAGGTGGGGGATGACGACACGTTCCACTTCAACCACAAGTTCACGTCCAAGTTCTTCAAGGTGAGAAGGAGTATGGGAGGGGAGTGGGATGCTCTCTAAGCCTCTGCAAGAACGTGCTGCGGAAGGAACCCGTGGGGATGGAGGTGGGGGATGATGATACTTTCCACTTCAACCACAAGTTTACCTCCAAGTTCTTCAAGGTGAGACGCATTTATGTGGTGTGGTAGGGAGAGCAGGCATGCACACACCTACAGTCGCTGTAGCTGTAGCTGTCGCTGGTGCGCGGGAAGAACGTGCTGCGGAAGGAACCAGTGGGCAAGGAGGTGGGGGATGACGATACTTTCAATTCAACCACAAGTTTACTTCCAAGTTCTTCAAGGTGAGTCAGGAGGATGGAGTGAGGGGAGAGGGAGCTGGATATTCGGTAAGGGTCCGAGCACACCCTTCCGAGCACACCCATTTCAGCGCAGAAGGATACAGAAGGCAGAGACGAGGCAGAAGGATACAGAAGGCAGAGACGAGGCAGAAGGATACAGAAGGCAGAGACGAGGCAGAAGGATACAGAAGGCAGAGACGAGGCAGAAGGATACAGAAGGCAGAGACGAGGCAGAAGGATACAGAAGGCAGAGACGAGGCAGAAGGTGGAGGAGGACAGGAAGCCGCAGATAGAGGCTGCCATCGTGTTTCCTTTCCCCCGTTCCTCATTCTGTTTCCCTGTGCCTCAATCTGCCTCCCTTTTGTCAACCTGCAGGTGAAGATCGGCACCATTTCCGCCCAGAAGGAGACGGAGCCGGAGAAGGCGGAGACGAGGCAGAAGGTGGAGGAGGACAGGAAGCCGCAGATAGAGGCGGCAATTGTTCGCATCATGAAGTCGCGACGCATGCTGGACCACAACAACCTTGTCAGGTGAGCTTATAAAGGGTACAACATTGTTGGGCAGCTTGTGAGGAGGACAGGAAGCCGCAGGTAGAGGCAGCCAACGTGCGCATCATGAAGTCGCAACACATGCTGTACCACAACACCCTTGTCAGGTGAGCTTATAAAGGGTACGGCAGTGTTGGGCAGCTTCTGGGAAGAGTTGAGAGCTGCATATAGTGGCGGTCATAGTGCGCAACACACCATAAGTCACTGTGCGTGTTGCACCGCAACAACCTTGTCAGTTAGGCTTGTAAAGGGTACTTCTAGCTGTGTTGGGCTGCTTCTAAGAAGAGTTGAGAGCTGCAGATAAAGGCGGTCATAGTGCGCAGCACACCATGAGTCACTGTGCGTGTTGCACCACAACAACCTTCTCAAGTGAGTTTGCAAAAGACAGCTGCAGTCGCGCTTTCTGCTCAACCCTGCAGTGATTAATAAAGGCATGGAGAGCCTCAGGAGCGAGAATGAGAGATTCTCACCCAGTCTCTGGTCCCTGTTTCTCCTCGCCTTTCCCTGTGCTTCTTCTGTGCTTCCCCTGTGCAACCACTGTGCGTTGAGGTGACGAAGCAGCTGCAGGCGCGATGCCTGCCCAACCCAGCAGTCATCAAGAAGCGCATAGAGAGCCTCATTGAGAGGGGGAGAGGAAGAGAGGTTTTAACCCAGCCTCCGTTCCCTGTTGCCTCTGTGTTTCTCCTGTGCATTCACTGTGCAGCGAGGTGACGAAGCAGCTGCAGGCACGCTTCCTGCTGAACCCGGCGGTGATCAAGAAGCGCATAGAGAGCCTCATTGAGCGAGCGTGAGAGAAAGAGGTTCTAATCCACCTTCTTTCCCTGTTTCCTCTTGTGTTTACCATATCGTTCGACTGTGCAGCGAGGTGACGAAGCAGCTGCAGGCACGCTTCCTGCCCAACCCGGCGGTCATCAAGAAGCGCATAGAGAGCCTCATAGAGAGGGAGTTCCTGGAGCGCGACCGCAACGACCGCAAGCTGTACCGCTACCTTGCCTAAAACGAATCTTCTATGAGACTATGACGCTTATATAGCGGTTCTTGGATGGTGTGTAATCAAGAAGCGCATAGAGAGCCTGATAGAGAGGGAGTTCCTGGAGCGCGACCGCGACGACCGCAAGCTCTACTGCTACCTCGCCTAAAACGAATCTTCTATGAGACCATGACGCTTATTTAGCGGTTCTTGGATGGTGTGTAATCAAGAAGCGCATAGAGAGCATGATAGAGAGGGAGTTTCTGGAGCGGGACCGCGACGACTGCAAGCTGTACCGCTACCTCGCCTAAAACGAATCTTCTATGAGACCATGACGCTTACATAGCGGTTCTTGGATGGTGTGTAATCAAGAAGCGCATAGAGAGCCTCATAGAGAGGGAGTTTCTGGAGCACGACCGCAACGATCGCAAGCTCTACCGCTACCTTACCTCGCTTGATGCCAGTCTTCTACGTGATGGCTGTAGTGGCTTTTTGAATGGGGTTCAATATTACGCTCAAGAGCAACTCCAGTAGTCTCCTGGAGCGCGACCGCAAAACCCGCAAGCTCTACCCGCTACCTCGCTTAAAGTGAATCTGAACTTCCGGTGATGCATATAATGGCTCTTGATTGGGGTTTATCTCTTCGCTCAGAAATGATTCTTGAAGACTCCCAAGACACATACACCCTAGAGGAGCAGGCGGGGAGGGACCTGAACGACGACTGTGAGCTCTGCTCTGCTGGTATATAGGTCTAAAGTGAATCTTCAATGCTAAGGATGGAGAATCAAGTTCCTCTGAAGGTACTGGTACCTCTTTTTGCATAATACAGAAGGAAATGAGGTACTGGTAACCCTGACTGTTGCCCTTGCTCCACTATGTGACAATTGTCCCCACAACTTGTGATCTAAATTAGCACTGTGAGATACTCAACTGCTGGCAGCTGGCATCTGCCACGAGGTCATCATGTGTGTCACTCCATGGAGTTAGTCAAAACAAGGCAGTCTGCCACCTGCTAAGGGCTGTTGACATTTTATGATTTCCTGCAGTTGCTCTTCTTAAGAGGCAGTTTGCTGGAGAGCAGATGCAAAGCACGGCATTGTAGGACTACAGGTTCCGGCCTGTAACCTTGCGGGGTGCTGCTGACACCAGTGGAGCTAGCTCAACTAAACAAGCACTGGGCAACAGGGATAGATAGCTAGAGCTTGCGGTACACATGACAGGACCAAGCTCAATTAAACGAGCACAGGGCAACGACAAAAGGGGTAGACTAGATATCTAGGCCTTCCGGTACATATACAAGAAATTGGATAGTCAGAAAATGTTTAATCATAGTTACACATTGTGAAGAGCTAAGTTGCTATTTTGCATTCAGTCTAACCGCCAAATCCGTAGAGCGTCCTACCCTGGCGCTTCAGGGCGTAAACAACATCCATGGCGGTAACCGTCTTTCTCCGCGCGTGCTCGGTGTAAGTCACAGCGTCACGAATGACATTCTCGAGAAACACCTTCAGCACGCCGCGTGTCTCTTCATAAATGAGACCGCTGATACGCTTGACACCGCCGCGGCGAGCGAGACGCCTGATAGCCGGCTTGGTGATGCCCTGGATGTTATCGCGAAGAACCTTCCTGTGACGCTTCGCGCCTCCTTTTCCAAGGCCCTTGCCTCCCTTTCCGCGTCCTGACATGGCTGTCTAGAGGCGAATCACGTAGCGAGATGAAAGGCCTTCACTGATAATGCTGGTGCTGATGAAGTGTGGTGGATTGAACCTTCTGATAACTTGATACAAAAACTCCAATGGAAGAAGTGGAAACAGATGTGCGGAACTGTTTGTGATTGAGAATGTGAGGGAGAGTTTATGGGTGCTCGTCGCGATCCCCTTGCTGCACAAGCCCGAGGCTCTGGAGACGCCCCTAGATGGATTGAGCACATGCGGGTGTGCTGGGTGGGATGGTTCATGAGGAACTGATCTAGCCGCTGATAAATGTGACAGGCTTCCAGTATCGGACGGCATTCCGTAATTGAAGCCGATCGAGAATTGATGCAACACCATGATTTTATTGGACACACTGCAGATCGTGTACTCGTTCTATTGATACCCACCAACTTATTCGAGCAATCAATCGTGGGACAAATACGAAGTGTAAACAAAGAAGTTCTCTCACTTCTTGGAATTCCCTTTTCCTTACTTCGCGTCCCTGCTCAACGCGTACATCACTGTAGCACCTCAGTCAGCACCGTTACCACTCACGACCATCGCATCATTCATCATCCCGCCCTTTTCGCACATTGCATCCCGACCTCACGGCTCGGCTGGTAACCCGCGCTCCGGGCCTACGCTTCGACACTTTCCCAACCTCAGTCCCAGGCTCGTCGCGCGACCATTACCGTTACCACTATAGTTTCGCTATATAATGTTCGCTCATGCCTTCGCTCAATTGTATTCTTGCTTCGATAGTGCAATTCTCGTTCGTTCACTCAATTGCATTCGTAACACTTGGTATTCAGAGCCTACGATCTCATCTCGGACCGCATCCACACCTTCGCTTCCCACTATCTCAATTTTTGGGGGGGGTAGACGTCTCTCAGCGACACAGCACCGCCGCTCGTAGTGCTCTCTCGAAAGCACGCACGGACACGACCGAGGCTCTCGCTGAGCTTGCCCGACACCCCCGCCATGGCCGATTTCAATCTCGCCACGTTGACGCAGGAGCAACTCGATCGTCTCGTGCGTTAATTGGAGGATTCGGCGCTCGAAATCGCGACTCTCACGGCGGAACGTGACTCCGCGCGTCAACAGTCAACGGTGAACGTACCGACGACATCACACGCACAAACCAATGCATCTGCACATTTGGAGGAGCCCATCGTCATCTCATCCGGCACACCAACGCAACACAACAGCACGGGACAGCGCTCAGGCGCAGCCAGTGACGGCGCAGCCCAACCGATGCCCGGCATGGGAGGGAACAAGAGCGCATTAAGTCCACGGGAGCCCCGAGAAGCCCGTCGGCACGTGGAGTTTGCGGCGACAAGTGGCGAGAACGCCATGATGGCCCCAATGCCACTCAAGCCGCAACGCCCGCCCTGCTTCGACCCAAGCCAACGCGGCGGCCCGACAGTTCAATCGTGGGTCTTCACGATGAATGTGTTTTTCGACGCCAACTACGTCGAATCGGACGCCGCCAAGATCCGGTATGCGGTTTCACTACTCAGGGGCCCCGCCATGGACTGGTGGCGAGTCATTGTGACGTCGCCGCGCGCCTACGAGCCACCGTCGCACGAGGAAGGGCCCTCGGGTCCAGCTGTTACATGGAGTTCGTTCTGCGAAACCACCCAATACAGCACGTGGGATGCGTGGTGCGCAGGACTTCGGGCGCGCTTTGAGCCGATCGCGGCCTCGATTTCGGCGCGTCAGAAACTGCGCACTTGGCGCCAGCTCGGGTCAGTTCAAGACTACACCAGCGGGTTTCTCGCACTTTGCGAACAGGTCGGCTACATGCACGAGGCAGAGCGGGTGGACCGTTACGTCGGAGGGCTGAAGCCGGACATCTCGCACGAGATAATGCTACGCGGGCTCTCGAATTTCAACGAGATCCTCGCGCTCGCCGAGAAAATCGATATCCTACGCCGACCGAGACCGGGGTCCTATTACGGACATCGTCCTCGGGGACCGACCGAGCACGCCACTGTACATGCCGTCGCAGCGAATGCAGCTGCCGCGCCGTTTAGAGGGCGCTGCTTTGCTTGCAACCGGCTGGGCCATCGCAAGAGCGAATGTCCAGAGGAGCTGAGGCGTCGAGGAGCAGAGCAGGGGAGGGAGTCTCGGAGGCAGGGAAACGCCAGCAGTCAGTAGAAGTTGGGCCAACTACTGACGAGACTGCCTGCTCGCCCAACCACACCGACCCTCACCGAGTCACAGTACCGATTCACGCCATCGATCGGGCTCGGATGAATAAGGAGGGTACAGCGACGGATTGCCCGGTACTGATCTACGGGAAAATACAGGGAGCAGCAGTGAAGATCTTCATTGACGGAGGAGCAAGCCACAGCTTAGTTAATACCGCAACCGCACAAAAATTACAGTTAACGCTTAATCGATGTTTACCTGAGATAGATGCACGCTTAGTCGACGGCACGCCCCTGGCCATACGGGAAAAGGTGGAGCGCGTAAAAGTCCGCTGCGGGGGGAACTTCGGGTTTACACAGGAAATGCTCGCGACGACACTGGATGGGAACGACATTTTATTGGGACGTGATTGGCTGCGACGGTACAACCCACGGATCGACTGGACGACGGGGTGTGATAGTAGGAAAACAGGAATGAATGAACTATGAATGAAAGCAGTACAAATATGAAACCCTAACTGGGTTGTACCCCCTATGGGATACCCCACTACAGCCTACACAGCAGTATAAGCTATAGATATGTTCTGACACACCCCCATAGGCAAAGTGGGGGAGAACAAGGGGTCACAAGACCAGTCAAGCAAGACAAAGCAAAGCTCAGGGTGGATCACAAAGTCACCACACAGTCCGAGCACAAGAGTGAGGCCAAAGGCCAGTTCACAAGCAAGAGTACAGACATATATATAAAGCTAGACAAGCAAGAGCAGGTATATATATATATGTCACAGTACAAGTGAAGTCAAGAGGAGAGCAAGTGAGGCAAGACAGGCACAAGACCCAGCTGGGTGCAGAAGCGCTGATGGTCACAAGGCGCAAGTGCCTTGGTGAACACATCAGCAGTGTTGGCCTCAGAGGCCACGTACGCAAGTCGCAACTGACCACGCTGCTGCAGCTCACGAGCAAGGAAGTAGCGGAGAGCAATGTGCTTCGTTCTGTGCTCCAAGCGCTGCTCTCGACACAAGGCCAGCATAGCCTTGTTGTCTACGTACAGCACTGGAGGAGAACGAGGCGGCTCTCCAAGGTCAGTCAGCAGGTAGGTGAGCCAGCGAAGCTCCTGTGCAGCCATGGCCCCGGCGTAGATCTCAGCCTCACAACTGGAGCCGAGAACCGAAGACGAGCG